CTCTCTCTGTAAGGTCACTTCTGAGGTCCTGGGGGCTAGCACTTCTAGAGTGAATTTTAGGAATTGCATTTTAACCCATGACACCTGGAAACATGTATTTGTCAGAAAGCAAGAACTGATGTGATTCAGAGCGGGGTTTTAATTTATTATGCGTTATTTTTAGACAGGCCCAGGTCATAGCAGACGATGCACCTGTGTTTCTGGCTCAGGTGATTTAAGGGACATGTGCTATTTGTACCTCTGAGTGTGTTTCATGCTCTTTTTTCAGTGCTGGGGACCCCAGGGCCTTGCCCGTGCGGGGCGAGCACTCTACCTCTGAGCTATGCCTCAAACCCCAAAAAGGTCTTTAAAGTTTAAAGTTCTCGGGTTTTCCTCTCCTTGTTTGCTGGCAAGCAGGGGTTGGGAAGCGGCTTTATCTAAGTGAAAGAGCATGTACGTTTAGAAATAGGTAAGAATTGTCTTACAAGGATGAACGTTCCTGGCTAATGCTCAACAGACCACCCTGGTTTGTCCACAGGCCCCAGCGCTGTTCCGGAACCATCTGGGAGGGTGTCCTTGCACCAGGTGTCCGGGAGGGGTGAGGATGGAGGGCTCCGAGTGGGTTTCCGCACTGAGCAGCTGCAGGAGTGGGAGCCTGCGGCCTGCACTGAACCTGGCTTGGGAGACGCCTTCCAGCACCTTCTTCTGATTATCCTCCCTGGGGCAGCTCGTCCTCACTTGAGCGCGGGTTTGATTTGGGGAAGCACCTGAATGAGAGCAGTTTGCCGCCGGGCCTGTGAGTGTGCCACCGCAGGGCAGAGGACCCCAGGGGCTGCACCCCGCCTCAGTGGGGCGTGTCACCAGAAAAGTCACTACTATCTACGCAGCTTGTGTTCTGTGTCTACTGGGCGTGGCCGGCCTGAGAAAGGGGACGGGCCTGAGAAAGGGGACCCTTTTTTTTTTTTTTTATTGGTTGTTCAAAACATCACAAAGCTCATGACATATCATCTTTCATGCATTTGACTTGTATTTGGGCTAAAGGGGACCCTTTTGTCGGTGGCTTTTGAGACCCTGGAATTCTTTTTTCCTCCCCTTTTTGTAGGTGCGCCGTGTGTTCCTGTCACGTACTGTGACACGCACACAGTGTGATGACGTCCTTCCCTCCCTCCCTCCCGGCCCTCTCCTCCACTCACTGACCCCGATTTCATGAGTCCGCCTCCGTCTCCCTTTTCCTTTCCCTCCCTGACTTCCGCGGAGGAGAGAAGACCCAAGGCCTGACTGAACTTGGCTTATGTGGGTGACCATGACGTCAGCTCCCTCCATTCTCCTTCAGATGACGGAGGAACGTCCTTCTTCTTTATGGCCGACTGAGCTCCACCGGGAGGGTGCGCGGTGCTGGACCCATGGATCCACCCACGGCACCGAGGCCGTTCCGGAGTCAGACCGCTGGGGATTGTGCGGCTGCCACGTGGGTGTGCGGACTTTGTCCCCAGGGCGAACACGCAGGATGGGACAGGGGGCCCTGAGCTGGCTGCGGGCCAACTGAGCTTGTGACTCTGAGGGACTCCTGAATTCTGAGGCTACTCTGGGCAGCAGAGGCCCTGTTAGAACGAGGAGCGTCCTCCGACGGTGACTGGGAAATAGGACGCGGTTTCTAGTGTGAGTTTTTAAAAAGGTCCGTGAGTTGGTCGCCGTTGGTCAGAGTGTGCGACGACGTGTTTAGACACCGAGGACCCGAGGGGGTGAGGGAGGTCCCTCGGCCAGGAGTGGCCGGAGGGCTTCCTGGAGACCGGCTGGGAAGTGCGGGTCATCAGAACTCTGGGCCTGAGGGTTTGTAATGGTCCTGTCACCGGCACACCTCAGCTTTATCGTCCGGGGCCACTCTGCAGGACGGAGTCGGTGGTCAGGCAGAGACCCCTGGTCTGGCCGGCTGGAAGGCTTTCCCCCGGCCCTTTGCAGAGCGAGTTTGCTGGCCGCTCTGCTGAGGGAGGACTTGGTTCTGCCGGCCACACTGGGGAAGGGAGAGGGCTGGGAAGGGCTGGGCCAGGGGAACCAAGCGGATGGGAACCCTAGACGGATCCCTATCCCAGATCTGAGAGGAGATGTCCGTGGCTCAGGGCTGGGAGGTGAGGTCCTGGGCTGGGTCCTGACCCCCAGGACTGGTGACGTTCAAAGGTGACGCTGGTGTTGGGAACTCTGGCAACGGTGAAGCCAAAGTGGTGGACCTTTTGGTGGGTGCAGGATGGGGAGGGCAGCCCAGGGCCGCCGGAGATTGCTAGAATAGTGTGTTTGAGGAGTCAGTGGCCGGGCAGGCGCCTGGAGACTGGAAATATGTGAACGGGACCCGGGGAGGCTGGAGGTCCCGGGAGGTGGCTCTGTCCACTGTGCCTGCCCAGCCTCCCACGGGGCCTCCTGCTGAGCCAGGGGAACCCTGCCCCCACCCTCGCCCCAGCGTGTATCCAGTTGCCGGAGGTGAAGACTTGATTTAGGGAACGGCCTCAGGCAGCTCCAGAGTTTGGGAGAAATGTGGAAGATGCAGAGCTCCCATCCATCATAATGTCTAAACTTATTCTTATTATGCCAGCTACACGTGAGAGTGCCGTTCCAGCTGTGCCCAAGCACCTTCTCTGAGCTCATTCACCTGAACCATCACTGTGAGTGGGATCCCAGCAGTCGCCTCTGTCTGGCCTTTGGCCGTGTGCCGCATGTCGTGAATGACGGACCACCGTATGTGGGGGTCCATGCGATCCTGTTGCCCGTAAGGTGTGGCTGGCCCGGCTGTGTGCACTCCACCATGTTCAGACAAGGGCGGAATTGCCCGATGGCACACTTCCCAGAATGTGTCCCAGTGGTTAAGTGACCCGTGGGCTCTTCCACTCAGCACCGTGTCCTCGAGTTCGTCTGTCCTGTGGCAAGTGCCAAAACTTCCTTCCTTTTCAAGGCTGAATGACATTCCGTTGCACCACATCTGCTCATCTGCTCCCAGCTGGTAGTCTTATCATATTGCATCCGGTCTTTTCTTTGAGAGAGGAGGTTGAAGCCCCTCTGGGTCGTTCCCACCCCCGCCGCTCCCCCTGTGCGCTCCCCTGAAGCTGGTTGCACCTGCCACCTGAGCTGTCAGTGCTGGACACCCACAGCCCATGGCCATCATGCAGCACAGCTGCTCCCTGTCCCTTCTGCGCAGCGGCGTGCCTGTGGTCCTCTGTGCTGGGCTTGGCGTGCACGCCTGGGCACCATCGTGGGAACCTCTGTTTGGTTCTCGTAGCTGCTGTTGGACTTGGGCTGGTCCTGCAGCCGCAGCGTCCTCGCGGGCATCTCCTAGTGCCAGGTGTGAGGGTTGCTTCACGGAAACTCGCCACACGTCTGTTCTTGGCTCACATCACGTAGGCCAGCTTCTCAGCTGTTGGTCTCGCTACACTCCCCGAAAATCCCTTGGTGGGCTGAGGATATCCGAAGTGGAGATGCACAAATTCCCGGGGCCCGAAGAATGTCCTGATGCAGCTACGTGGCCTGCTGGAGCGTTCTGGTTTCCAGTGGCCGACTCTGAGCTGCGGCTGCCGTTGCCCAGTGTCACAAGAGTGTTGTTTGTGCCGGACATCCCTTGCCTGGGAGAGACCCAAATTCGAAATTTGAAGAACCGTTTCTGCTGGAAGCATCATCAGCTTTTCAACAGGATAAAGTCAAACTGTGGTGAGCCGGGCCTGTGCGCTTATGCCCCAGGTTGCCAAAGCCACAGGGGCGTCCGGAGAGCAGACACTCCCTGCCCAGCGCCCGGCCTCCCCGTGCTGTGGACAGGGCATTTTCTTTCTCTCTTGTGCTGGCCAAGGCCCACTGAATGGACTTCAGGGTCCCCTACGCATACGGCTGGACACACTTTGGAAACCATCAGGTCACTTCCTGGAGGTCTCAGCAGAGCCAGATCTGCAGCCCAGATGGCCGCCCGGGTCGGTGCAGGCCAGAGCCCGTGCCAGCACCTCCTGCCCACACCCTCCCTGACTGGGGTGTCCCCTGGCTGCCCTTGCCTTCCGCCAGGCTGTTGGGTGCTGGGTTTTGTCTGAAATCTGTTTCCATGTGTGTCGGCTCTCTGGTTTTCCCCTGTGACTCGCCCATTTTCTCTATTTCTGCTCTTTCATGAGGACTTTGGAGTTCTTTATACCTACCTACCTTCCTTCCTTCCTTCCTTCCTTCCTTCCTTCCTTCCTTCCTTCCTAGGGGATTGAACTCAGGGGCGCTCCACCACTGAGCCTCATCCCAGCCCTGTTTTGTACTTTGTTTAGAGACGGGGTCTCCCTGAGTTGCCTAGCACCTGGCCTTCGCTGAGGCTGGCTTTGGACTTGGGATCCTGCTTGGCCTCCCGAGCGCCCTACCTGCTGTTCTTTGTATTTTCTAGACAGTGGTCTTCTTGTTTCTAGTTTACTTTTTAATAAATGAATTGTATGAAAACTCTGTTCCTTCAATATTTGTGAGGCCCCGTGCAGGAGGATGCCAGGGAACACTTGAGGTGGGGGTGGGGGCTCTGGGAGGGTGGGCTGGAGTTGGGGTGCAAAGTAGGGAAGGGGAATCGGTGCTGACCCGGGCAAGCAGGAATCCTCGGTCTTGGTGAGGTCGCTGCTTGGGGTCAGAATTCCTTCAGCCCAGTGGTTCCCTGTGGGGGCGATTTGACTCCCCATTCCTGGGGACAGTTGGCAATGTCTGGAGACGCTTTTGGTGGTTGTCCTGGGAAGGTCCAGGGATGCTGCTCGGCACCTGCAATACACAGGATGGCCCTCAGGACAAAGGATGACCCCTCTGAGGGGGAGACCCCAGCCTCCTTGTGCATCGTCTGGTGGCAGCAGACCCCCTCCCATGATCAGCCAGCATCGTGGGAGCCTGTGGCGTGAGGCAGGATGCAGCCCCAGCCCAGGGACGCCCACTGTGTCCACAGCCTTGACCGCCAGCATCTCCTCTCTTCCTCCCCAGGCAGGTCTTGGCGAGCCCCACCTGGGCCACAGCTCGCGGAGGATGGAAACACGTGCCCAGCGATGTCTCTGGGCCGCCTCCTTCGCCGGGCCTCCTCCAAAGCCTCGGACTTCCTGACCCTCACCCCTGGTGGCAGTGGCGGGTCCCCCTCGGTCCTGGATGGAGAGATCATCTACTCCAAGAACAATGTCTGTGTGCACCCCCCCGAGGGCTTGCAGGGGCTGGGGGAGCATCACCCAGGTGAGCCGGTGGGGGAGCCTGGGGCCAGGGGTGGAGACCCTGGGGAGCCATGGGTGCTTGGGCTCTGCCTGGGCTCCCCCAAAAGGGGACCAGAGACCACTGGCTCTGTGGGTGGAGGCAAGACCCTCTGGGTTGGAACTCCAGGTGACCTGCCAACATTCTGGGGCATTCTCATGGTCCCTGGGGCGGGAAACTCTTTCCTGTGGTGACAGGGACTTTGTCATCTTTTGCAGAGCCACAGAGAAAGAGACTGTTTGGTTTCTTGTTCTGCAGGGCAGGGCTAGGTTCTGAGCCAGGGCCCTGAAGGGCCGAGGGCCACAGCTCATGAGAAAGGACGAGAGCGTCCGTTGCCTTCCCCAGCATGGGTAGCCACCCCCCGAAGGGAGTCTGGGGGCATTAGGTCCAGCTCTTGGGCAGGCCAGGGGAGTCCTGCAGCCTGCAGCCCCTGGGAAGGAACAGAGTACGTGCAGTGACAGGGGAGGCCTCGTGGTCCTTTGCCGTTCATGCAGGTGACTCGCAACAAGGGAGCGTGAGGCCATTTCTCTGTTGCTTTACGATCTGCACAATGGCCTCACTCGAGTGGCTGGAGCCAGAGTGGGCCTCCAGTGGAGGCCACCACAGGTGCTCAGGGCAGGAGTTCCCCATGGAGCCGGGCTGCTCTGTGCCACTCGGTGCCGTGTTGAACTGGGCCCTCTCGGGCTCCCCAGGCTGCCGAGAGCAGGCCCCAGGCCCTGGCGTCCTGCAGCCATGCGGGGGGGTGGTCCTTTCTTCCCCAGGGGCCCCCTGGCATTTTCAGGGCCTGGGGTAAAGGTGCAGACCGAGATCCCAGACGGTGGGACCCGAGCACATCCACCCTGGGTGGATACACCGTTGTTAAAGGGTTGCTAGTGAAGCGAGGGTGCCCCTGCCTGGCCCTGTCCGTGGTGCCGTGGCAGTGTGAGTGGAACTGTGGCTTCTCCAGCCCACACCCCCTGCTCTTCCAACCCTGCTTCCCAGGGCGCCGGCACCACTGTGTGGGCCAGGACTTCACGGTCTTGGGCTCCTGGAGGATGATCCAGAGGGTGTAGCACAGCCCCTGGCCAGAGCCTGGCCCCCCGGGGAGGGTGGGCATGGGGGTTCCAGGTCTGTCCTGCTCTGGGCCTATTCAGAGCTGCAGTGCCCTGTGGTACTCCTATCATGACGCTGTGGGGAGAGGTCAGGGATGGGCAGAGGACTTCAGGCCCTCACTCGGTCCTGGAGCAGAGGTGTATGGTCAGGGGGTGCAGAAATACCCAGCCTCACCCTCACGTCACCCTGGGTGTACCTAGCTGAAGTCCCCAGGTGCCCCGCCTCTCCTGGATATGGGAGTGGGGCCAAGGGATCATGGCTGACGGCAGAGCCGCAGAGTGTGCTCCGGGCGCCGCTCCTGCCAGGGGCCTTTTCGGCACAGAGGCCAGGGGCCTGGGCCGGGTGCCCTGTGCCTAGGAACTGGGATACCCGGAGCAGCTTGGTGCTGCATCAGGAGGTGCCACCTGCCCCCCAGCCAAGCTCCTGGACACTCAGCGTGGCCTTGGGGAAGCTGCTCTTCCCTCCCTGGGGTCACAGGCCCCTCTTCCAACTACTACGTTTAAAAAAAGAAACAGTAGACCACGGTGGTGGGACGAGGCCGGGCAGCGCCCAGCTTGGGTTTATTCTTGTTGTGAAGTGGAAGTCGAGTCTCCTGCCCTCGTCCCTCCCCAGAGTGCCGTACAGCCGGGACACGGGACCCCCGAGGCCACTGGGCTTCTCCTGGCCTGCCTGGGCCTGCCCACAGGAGGAGGCCGAGGCCCGACAGGCCCAGGGCAGTCAGATAACCACCTAGGAGTAAGGCGTGGGCTCGGACCTGAGTGGAACAGCTAGGGCCGCCTGCTGCCCAGGCCAGTCCCTGGGTCTGCTGGACCCGGGGGTTCGGCTCACATCCCGTCCACTTCCAGAGCCCGACTGTCCGCAGCACCGAGTGTGCCCGTGGGATGGCGCCCTCGGCCCGGCCGCCCGTGCAGCCCTAACCTGCCCGACCTGCGACTCCCCACAGGGTATCTGTGCCTGTGCATGGAGAAGGATGAGCTGCTGGGGGCCACCCTCATCCTGGCGTGGGTCCCCAATTCTCGCATCCAGAGGCAGGACGAAGAGGCCCTGCGCTACATCACCCCGGAGAGCTCCCCTGTGCGCAAGGTACCCCGCCACCGACGCCGGCGCATCCCGAGCTCGGGGGCCCCCCCACCAACCCTCCCCCACGGAGCCAAGGCCCTCACTGATGCCCAAAGATGAGGACATCCTGGTGGTGGCCCAGAGCATCCAGGAGGCAGTGCACATCAGCGCTTCGCCTGAGGATGGGGAGAAGCTGGCCCTGGACGCAGGGGCAGATGGGCCACTCCCCGCCTCGCAGGCTGCCCACAGGGACTCTGGAGTCTTGTCCACGGTTGGCTCACAGGATGGGGCTGAAGAGGGCAGGGAGCCACGGCCTGAGGCCGGCGAGGAGGAGGGCTCCTGGGAGCTGTCAGCGGATGGAGTGAGCAGGGACAGCTCCTTCGACTCCGACTCCGACGCCTTCTCTTCGCCCTTCTGCCTCTCGCCCATCAGCGCTGCCCTCACAGAGGGCAGCAGCTCTGCGCTCATGGACAGCGAAGGCAGGTGAGTTTCCTGTCTGTCCCAGGCCGAGTGGTGCCTAAGTCCCCACGGGCTGGCTGAGCTCCGTCCCAGGCCGAGCAGTGCACAGGTCCCCACGGGCTGGCTGAGCTCTGGCCTAGGCCGAGTGGTGCCTAAGTCCCCACGGTGCTGGCTGAGCGCCGTCCCAGGCTGAGCAGTGCACAAGTCCCCAGGAGGCTGGCTGAGCTCAATCCCAGGCCGAGCAGTGCACAAGTCCCCACAGTATTGGCTGAGCTCCGTCCCAGGCGAGCAGTGCACAAGTCCCCAGGAGGCTGGTTGAGCTCCATCCCAGGCTGAGCGGTGCCTAAGTCCCCACTGTATTGGCTGAGCTCCGTCCCAGGCTGAGCAGTGCACAAGTCCCCACGGTGC